AGGTAAAAAAAATAATTGTCCTAAGGGCAGACACATAAAGGGAATATACATTTCTTTGTACACAAGTAAAAATGTACCCTCTTCCCCCCTGCATCAGGCAGACATGCTTACAGAGCTCCAACAGCGGTATAGGCGGAAGAGGTGATCAACACGGGAACTCAGTGACTATACCGGCAGACAAGGCAATGCCTGATGGACAGGCTACTAAGGACAATCCCAACAAACTGGGTTATCGGCAGTCCATTAAAACTCTCTCTCCCCAGTCGTTGCAACACTTGCACTACTGGACCAGGAAAAGGGAGAGCCAAGATGTGTGGTTGCAGCCTACTCTCCTGCCTCACCACATAAATCAACTCACGTGCAGCCATCATCCAGTTCATACCTCTCAACATCATCATCAAACCCCTATACCCCAAAAGTCCTATGGCGACAGACGAGTGGCAACGGGAACAGGCAGAGATGACTGCCGGGAGCTCTAGTCACAACTCTACACATGGGCGGCACATATAAGATGGTCGTTTATGCACTGGGATCTAGGCAGCATTGCAATCTGGTCTTTTCTGTGCAAGTGAGCTGCCCCTTCTAGAAACCACTCTGCTCACCCCACATGGGGAGGGGCTAAAAAAGATGCCCTAAGCATAGCCTGCCTAAAGAACCAACCTGACTGAGCAACCGCACCCAGTAAGATCATCCTCATGCGGTCGAAAACACAATCATAATCACAGATCAAAACAAAAACAAACTATACAACCTCTTATTGTCGCTGCATGGAATGTCAGGACCCTTCTGGATACTGACGCAAATGAGCGTCTTGTGTTAAAAGAACTGGCTAGGTATAATATCGACATAGCAGCCATTAGTGATCCCCGGCTCCCAGACGAGGGTCGACTCACAGAACAGGGGTCTAGCTATACCTTCTTCTGGAAGGGTAAGCCTGATGCGGAGAGAAACCACATTTATGGAGTTGGCTTTGCCATCCGTCAATGCATCCTACACAGGCTAACTGAAATGCCTGTTGGGATCAACAAGCACTTCATGACACCCCGAATTCCACTGAATCACTCACGTCATGCCTTCTTCATTGGTGCTTACGCCCCAACCCTGGATGCAGAGAATGATATCAAGGAGGCCTTTTATGCCAACCTTGATTGAGTGCTAACCTCTACTCCCAGAGAAGATAAGAATGTGCTCCAAGGTGACCTCAATGCCAGGGTTGGCAGAGATGCTAACATTTGACAGGGAATTAAAGGGAGAAATAGACTAGGCAAGTGTAATCCCAGCAGCCTGCTCCTCCTCAGCAAGTGTGCTGTACACAACCTCACTATCCCCAATACCTTGTTTAAGCAGGCCGACAAGTTCAAGGGTTCGTGGCAACACCCACGATCCAAACACTGGCATCTTATTGACTACAATCAGGGGTGTCAAACATGCGGCCCGACACACTACTGCATGCGGCCTACGGCCCATTTGCTGCTCCAGTCTTACCTTGAGGAGCTAAAACTAAATAGTGAGTGTATCCCTCAGCTGAATAAAATAGTCTGCTGTTTCCTAGAACAATATACTCAATCAACATCACCAATGAGCTCCAGTGTGATTCTGTGTTGAGGAACAAGTTTTCGAGTGTTGATGTTGGCACATTTTATCAATATTTTGGACTAAATTATCCCAGGACTAAATGTTTTGCCTCAAAGATTATGTCAATGTTCAGAAGTACATATGTCTGTGAACAACTCTTTTCTGTGATGAACTTGAACAAGTCTCGGCTTCGGTCTCAACTTACTGATGCGCACCTTAATTCAATACTGAAGGTTGCTACAGCTCAGTCGTTAGTGCCAAACTTTGATGCACTGGTACATACCAAGAGGTGCCAATTTTCAGGAAGCAGCAGTAGCAAACAATAAGATTGATCAAGGTAAGTAAACACTTGCTTTGTTTGTTTGTTTTTAAGGGTTTCGCACGAGCGCAGAAATCTACCTTTCTTATTTTGTCTTACTACTCACCTAAGAGGTGATTGCGAAGTGCTCTTAATTATGTTACTTGGCCCGCATACTGTGTACTGATATTAAATCTGGCCCGCCTTGGCAAATGAGTTTGACACCCCTGGACTACATCATTGTCAGAGAAAGAGATCGCTGAGATGTCCTCATCACCTGAGCCATGCATCGCTCAGACAACTGCAGCACTGATCATCGGCTCATCAGAGCCAAGCTCTCACTTCACGTCGCCCCAAAGCATCTGCTTTCAGAGAGCAACTCAAACACGGGCTGATAAACAACCTGACTACAAACAACCTAAATCCCAGTGCCAAATGGAATATTCTCGACATTGTCATGACAAAAACCTGCAGAGAGACCCTAGGCCAGACCGAAAGAATACACCAGGACTGGTTTGATGAAAATGACCTGGAAATCAATATACTCGTCAATAATAAATGTGCTGCTTTAACTGACTGGCAACCCTCAGTCCTGGACCAAAGCTGATGGCTTCTGCAAGAAGAAAGCAGCAGCCCAGTGCAAACTTCGCAATCTAAAGAACGACTGGTTTAAAAATAAAGCATGTGAAACACAAAAAACTTGCAGATCAGCACATTTTTCAATTCCACTAAAACATTTTATGGGCCAATCACTCGTGGCACAGCCCCCCCCTCTGTTCATCCGACGGGAACTCCTAATTAAAGACGAAGAATGCCTCCTTCAGCACTGGAAAGACCACAACTGCTAACTGCTCAACCGAAACACTGATGTGGATGTCCTGACTACCCAGCAGGCCCCTCAGCATCCAGAGCTGACCCACCTCAGCTATCCTCCATCCCTGGGTGAGGCAGTTACTGCCATCAAACAGTTGAAAAATAACAAAGCCTCAGTTCCTGATGGAATCCCAGCCGAGGTGTATAAAGCAGGAGGACCATCTCCACTCTCTCCTGGAGAATATATGGGAAAATGAGGAAATCTCCCCAAGTTCTTAAAGACGCCTCCATCGTCAATATTTTTTATAAGAACAAGGGGGACCGGTCAGACTGTGATAACTACCACGGGATCTCGCTGCTGTTCGTAGCTGGGAAGATTATCGCCCGAGTCCTCCTAAACAGACTTGTTCCTGAGGCGAAAAACTTCCTCCCAGAATCTCAGGTGGCTTTAGACCATCACGTGGCACCACTGACATGATCTTTGCTGCCCGCCAGATACAGGAAAAGTGCAGAGAACAGCGTCGTGACCTGTACATGGCCTTCATCGACCTAACCAAGGCCTTCGACTCAGTCAACAGGGAAGCCCTCGGGCTGACACTCAGCTGTTTTGGCTGCCCACCAAAATTCATTGCCATTGTGAGGCAACTCCGCGATGGCATGAAACACAGTATCCTACACATTGACACCCAGTCTGAGTTCTTCCCCATCCAAATGGGGGTAAAACAAGGATGTGTACTTGCACCAACTCTCTCTTAATTTTTTTGGCTGCCTTCCTTACTCGTCCAAGTGCCAATTTGGCTGGCAGGGTGGACATCAAGTGCTGGCTGAAAGGTCTTTTCAACATAAGATGACTCTAGGCAGGAACAAAGGTGTTGGCAGCTTCCATTACTGAACTTCAGTATGCAGGTGACCTCATCCTTGTCGGACATGCTGAATGAAACCTAACGGTACAGGAGATCCTGAACACCTACGTAGATGCGTATGCACAATTCGGCCTTGAGGTGAATGTATTTAAGACTCAGATTCTTTTTCAGCCTGCCCCTGGTTCAGACACACCTCTACCATCCATCCAGCTTAACGGTACTACCCTCTCTAATGTTACCCACTTTCGGTATCTCAGCTCCCACCTGTTCACCACCGCGGACATCGATGAAGAGATTCAACATCGGGTCAGATGTACATCTCAAGCCTTTGGCAGACTCCATACACATGTCTTCAGCTGTAGGGAGCTAAAATTATCTACAAAGTTGCACTTATATCGAGCAGTAATCCTCCCCACCCTACTATATAGCAGCAAGACATGGGTCATATACAGGAGGCACCTCAAGGTCCTTAAAAACTTTCACCAACGTAGTCTATGTTCCGTCCTCCGAGTTCTCTCTGAAGTCAAGAGAACAAATGCCAGTATTTTTGCTGACACCAACTGTAGCATGGACAACAGTAGACTGCCAAAGCAGCTACTTTACAGTCACCTAACGAATAGTTAAAGTAATGCTGGTGGGCAACTGAAAAGGTATAAGGATAGTCTTAAGACAAACCTGAAAAAGTGCCAAATCGACCCTCTCACCTGGAAGACAATCGCCCCACACTGTAATGCTTGGAGGAGCACCACATGAAAAGGTGTCAATACTTTCGAGATAGCCCGACTGCATACCGAGGCAGTGAAGCTCCAAAGCCAGAAAGATGCTGCCCCCGCTCCTCCCGCAATGGATATAGCCCTCCACACGTGCATCATCTGTGGACAACCCTGCCGATCCCGTATTGGCCTCTCTAGTCACCTCATGGCTCACCAATGAAGCTGACATCCTTGGTGACATCCCTAATAACTCATATCATTGTATCATAGTTGGATGATCATCATACTTGATTCTGAGTGACAGCAAAGTAGTATTAGTAGTGTGTGTGTTTGTGAGGGGGGATAGAGACTCTCTCCTCCACCTCCCAGGTTGCCAGATACCGTATATCTAAAATATCTCTCATATTTTTTTCTGTACATTTTATTTCTTTACACTTTCACTTCTATAGACCACTATGATAGGCCTGTCACAGCAAAATATGGAAATACAATTGATGATATAAGAAGGGAAATATAAACACAACAAAGACAAGACTAATTAATTATCCAACACTGTCTCCATACTGTCCAGGAGCCTTTGGTCGCATCAGTTGTCTCACCCTGGGGGCCAAATACCTAACACTGCATTTTGTTGTTGTAAAAATTTGTATGGTGAAATTGTAATTTGTGAGTGTTAATGACTTCAATAATGTACAGAATTTATAATATTTATTAAACTTTGACTTTTCACCTTAACAGTTGAGAGAGTGAGGGCTGGTATTGTAGTGATGGAGAGGGACAACTTGTTTCTGCAGCAAGAGACCAAGAGCCTTCGTGCACTCTATGAAAACACCTTGGCTGAAAATCAATCTCTAAATGACAGAGTGTTTAATGACCAAATTACCATAGATAACCTACAGAAGCAGTTAATGAGTTACAATAATTTAGAGGATCAACTTAAGAAAGTGGTTAGTAAAAAAAAATTCCTATATTGCATGTTTGTGTTTACATCAGTTCCTTTCTATTTCCATTTTGAATTGCACGTACAGTATACTACTTTATCTCCTCAGAACAGCAATTGTATATGCCTAACTTCTTATACAGTAGTCCCTCAGTTAACGAAAGGTTCAATTCACAAAATTTCGGTCAATGGATTATCTGCCTTAAGGGTTTTCAGTTCCATTAACGAACAAAACTTTGATTAATGACAGCCTTAGGAGAAACACGCTTTGTTGTGCGCATCAGCTGATCATCTATTCCACCAATACAGTAATTGGTTCTATGTTTACATTCGTTTCCAGTGGAGTAAATATCAAGAAAATTGTGCTCTTGAATATTTTTTCATTTTTATATTAAAATTATTGGTCATTCTAAAATTTAGCCATCCAAGCTCTGTCCACATAAAGTTTTTCAACTAATATTTTTGGCTCGATATATGTAACTTTATTCATTTATTTTTACTCATTTACATGCACACACTGTCCTCAGGGCAAAGCTGTACTCAAAATGATTACTAAAATTTTTGTCTAGTGTAAACTATAGCATGTTTACATTCAAATTAATCACTATCTTATAAGAATTTCAGCAATGTAAATTATATTTTCCCCAGTCACTTCTATGACATTTTGTAAGCAAAAAACAAAAACTCAATTTAAAGGACATAAATAAACAAATAAACACTTCACTAGACCTTTGGCTCCAACTATCAAACATGTCACTGTCACCTCCCCTCCCTCTCAGCCAGGGTTTGGTGGTTTTAGGCTTACAGTTTTTATCTTATATAATATCACAGACTAAAGTTAGGAGAATGTAATTTGCATTGCTGGAATCCTTGCAAGACAGTGAATAATTTGAATATAAACGTCATATATTTTGCACAAGAGATAAAGATTAATCACCTGTGTCACATTACAGTAGTGATTTAAGAGTTCTAGTGTATATGTACGTAAATATATATATATAGTGATTTAAGGGCGATTTTGGGGATTTTTAGGAGTGTTTCTGACCTATGCATTTTTTGGCTTTACTTTGTATGTACTTGTGGGGTATGGGTTATTTGGTTCACACTCAGGATGGGATGGAGAAGGAAACTCCCAATGTGCTCTCTGTATACATGTTGTATTGGATGTACAATGCAGCTTGGTGCTGGGAAGGCAGCATGGTTACAAGCGTTGAGTAGAGAGAGCTGGTTGGTGAGGGTGCTCAGAGGAGGACCAGCTTGTGGGTCGCCATGGTCGCCGGCGGGAGCAAGGGCCGCCAGGCAGGGGCGGAGGAGGTGTTGCTGGTTGGTGTAGGTAGAAAGAGGTAGGTCACCACGAGGTCAGGTCTTATATAGCGGAGGTAGGCGTGGCTTAATAGTTGACCTCTGTGATGTATGGCAGCGCTGGTTGCTGACCTAGACACGAGGTGCAGCTGGATTCGTGGGGCGGCTCGTCAGCGACAAACGGCGTTTGTAGGGGAGGAATCCACTACATACTTTATCTGTGAGTTGGAACCAATTACCCAATATCCCATTGAAATAATAGATTCAGTTAACGAAATTTTCGGTTAACAAACGACTCTGTGGAACCAATTCTGTTCGTTAATCGAGGGACCACTGTACTAAATTTCCCAGTGGCGGCTCGTGCCTAGGAGCTGCAGTCCCCCCAGACACTCACTATCAGGCATATGATTCCTTCAGACACACAGCAGAATAATACACTACTAACAAATATATCATAATAAAAATTCATTATACAGTGGTCTCTTGGTTAACGAACGCCTCGGTTAACGAAATTTCGGTTAACGAATTACCTTCCATAAGAATCTTCAATTCAGTTAACGAAAACAAATTTGACTAACGAAATCCTTATGAAAATCACATTTTGTTTTGAACATCAGCTGAGGAGGTACTCAGCCAATTCAGTGATCTCTTCTATGTTTACATTCAAACTAATCACTATCTTATAAGAATTCCAGCATTGCAAATTAAATTCACCCCAGTCACTTCTATTAAATTTTATAAGCTAAAAACAAAAACTCAATCTAAAATAAAAAAATAAACTAACAATTAAATACTTCACGCCACAGGAGCCAACTGTCAAACATGTCACTGTCACCCCTCCCTCCCTACCCCCCACCTTCCTGAGAAACGTTTGGGTAAAAAGACTGGGTTTACAGGTTTAAAAATAAATAATACCTCAGACTAAAGTTAGGATAATATAATTTGCATTGCTGAAATCCTTGCAAGACAGGGAATATTTTGAATATAAACTTCATATATTTTGCACAAAAGATAAAATTTTTGCTCTCCCTAATAAAATTTTTAAATTAGATCTAAAATTTGTATGTCTAATGCAAATTTTAGCTTGTTTATATTCAAATTAATCACTATCTTATAAGAATTCCAGCAATGTAAATTATATTCTGGCTTTACTTTGTATATACTTTTCAGTGAGCTGGAACCAATTACCCAATATCCCATTGAAACTATGGTTTCGGTAAACGAAATTTTTGGTTAACGAACGACCTTCTGGAACGAATTGTGTTCGTTAACCGAGGGACCACTGTAGGTATGTTATTTTCAGTACTGTACGTTACTAAGTGAATTAATTGGCGCCACGTCTGGAAACAATGAGCTGCAGTCGATGCAACTCAGTCTCCTGTTTACATTGCAAGCGGACGGTGCGGTTAAATCGTGCTTTCTTTAATTACCCTTCGACGATGGAAAATCGAGTGAAGTATTTGCAAAGCATCAACTTTTCCCAGCTGACATTAAATGAAAAGACTGAAATGAAAGCAAGAGGAAGACCTACACCTGTTTTATCCATTCAACAGAATAGTGCAAGCAAGAGCAAAGAATATACAGTGGCCCTCGGTTAACGAACTCAATCCGTTCCAGAAGGTCGTTCGTTAACCGAAACGTTCGTTAACCGAAACCATTGTTTCAATGGGTTTTTGGGTAATTGGTTCCAGCTCACCGAAAATTTCCTAAATTCAACAAAAATGGTAGAAAAGTTCACTTACTTTGAGGTGTGTATGTAGAAGGCTCCTGGATGATGATGATGATGATGGGATTTAGAATGGGGGTGGAGGAGAAGGAAGAAGAGAAGGCATTGGGGTGGAAGAGAAGTCACCCCATGGTGCCATTTCACCCATAAAATTTTAGCTCTCTGGTTTAATTCAAGATTATTTTCTTTAAATCAATGCTGCACTGCATTATATATTGTCAATATATAAAATATATTTCAAAATGACCAATAATTTGCTTGGAAACACAGAAAAAAAGCATTTAGTTGAAGAGAGTCTCAAGCAAGATGTTACCTCCAGTGAAAACAGAGAGAGACTGACGCCTGTTTGCTGTGTTAAGAGGCTGGATGCCGCGCATTAAACTAGTCACTTTACCTTCAATTTTGTTCAATAATTGTTAAAATGACTAAAAAATTGAATATTAAACTTTTAAAATTATTGAATAGTATAAACTTCTTGATATTTACAAAAATAGTAAGGAATTTAAGCCCTAGAACCGATTAATGTATTGGCGGACTGATACTAAAGCTGGTTGCCCGGTCAGTGCAAGCGAAAACATGTTGAGGTCGGTTCGTAAGAAGTTCGTTAAGCGAATTTTTTTTCGTTAACCGAATTGAAGATCCTTATGGAAGGCAGTTCGTTAATCGAAATTACGTTAACCGAGGTGTTCGTTAAACGAGGGGTCACTGTACACTCTGGTTCTGTGGTTATGATGAAGCAAATACTTTATTCTGCTTTCCATGCTTATTGTTTGGTGGGAACTCGTCATGGACGAAAAGTGGTGTGACTGACTTGAGGCATTTGCCACAGAAAATAATGAAACATGAGCAGTCAGCCAAACACATGAATATCATGATTGATTTATCATTGCTGGGTAAAGTGAACATTGCAGCTCAAATTGACACAGCATACAAGCTCTCAGTTGCTTAGTTGCAAAACACAACGAACAGGTTAGAAAAAACAGAGATGTGTTATCCAAAATCATAAACTATGTAAAAGTTTTGTGGAAAATTTGAACTCCCTCTTAGAGAACATGGTGAAACTACGAGCTTCGAGAATCCTGGAGTATTTCTTGGATTAGTTGATTTTGCCTATGAACAGGATTCTAGCTTAGATGCTCATTTAAAAACCACTACAGTTTTTAAAGGAACATCCAAATCAATACAGAATGAACTTTTAGAATCTATGTTGGAAATCTGCAAAAATAAGATCAAGGAAGAAGTAAAGAATGCAGAATATTTGGCAATTATGTGTGATGAGACAACGGATATTTACGATTACACACAGATGGTAATTGTTCTAAGGTATGAGCTACAAGGGAAGCCTGTTGAGAGATTCTGGGGATTTTTTTAACCTTATCAACAATTACAGCAGAAGCCTGATCAGTTGTGATACTTAAAGAGCTCCAGACTGTAATTGGTGATTGTCCACACACGCTCATTGCTCAAACTTACGATGGGGGCAGCTGCCTAAGTAGAGTCAATAAAGGTGCAGCCTATCCCTCTATGGAAAAAGACAAATTTAGAACTGAACTTACTGTACTGTATGCAAGAGAAGATTTGTGTTAATCAGAAAATCTCATTGACTTATTAAAGATGATGAACAACAATCATCTACAGTCAACATTTGCAGAAGCAGAAAGGTGCTTTTCAACTTTGAAGAGAATTAAAACTTTTTGGTGCAGTACCATGGTGAATGACAGATTGTCTGCTTTAGCAACGATATTCATTGAAAATCACATGATAACAGAAATGAAGGATTTTAATGAAAAATAAGTAAACCATTTTGCTGCATCGAAGAGCTGACGCGCCAATTTTATTTTCAAGTACAGTAAATCCTTGCTTAACCTCGTGGTTCCGTTCCTGAAAACCTCAACATTGATGGAATCAATTTTTCCCATACGAAATAAGGCTCACAGGGGCATTGCGATGATTCTGGTCCTCCATCCACATAGCCAGCACAACTTGTCTTTGTTGCACTCAGAGAAGTACCACTTCCAGCACTAACCTTAATCTTGTCCGTGCTGGTCCGGATAGTACGCACTGTTGTGGGGGTTAGATCTAGAGCAGCAGCTATGTTCACCGCACGTTTCTCTTTTTCAAAACCGTTTAAAAACCTCCATTTTCGTAGGAAGGCTAATGGTCTTACGTTGCTTCTTCACTCCACTTGCATCACTAGCACTTGATGGGCACTTGGAAGCCATTTCGAATTGTTAGAGTACAGTGTTGAGAGCAAAAACACTTAAACACGCACGAAGGCTGTGGAAGCCTAACAAACACTGACGACGGTTGGGGGCGCTGTGTGATGCTCCGCGAGTGAGAGGTAGCGCGCCAAGATGAGAGAGGGTGATGCGCCATGAAAAGTAGTCTGTGACGACGCTAAAAACGACGTTATATTGAGTCATCGGGATGTTAACCAAATTATTGGTATCTAAAGAGTAGCGACGTTATAACGAAACAACGTTATCGGGGTGCAACGTTAAACGAGGACTTACTGTAATACTACCATCACCACTTCAGCCATCCCTACCGCCACCACCCCCCACCACCCCCCACCATGCCTTCTACAACCACCACTACTACAATGCCTGTACATCAACTCTTACCTGAGGTAGGTCAAATTTGTGTACCCTACTGTCAGTGGCGGACTGGCCCACCGGGATACTGGGAAATTTTCCGGTGGGCCCCAAAGTGATGGTTCCTTTGACTACGTTTTAGGATTAAGTGGGCCCTTTTGGACCCTTTTGAGTGGGCCGTTTTACAAGTTTTCCCGGTAGAAATTTTTGACCCAGTCCGCCACTGCCTACTGTTGTGTGAAGCTTGCAGTCCCTCCATTTTATATTACCACAAGCCGCCACTTAAGTCTCCCCATAATGAGGAAAGTTTTCCCTTGACTAATACTGTATATGATATCAAAAAAAGTGGCCATATCCATTCAGCTACTACTGTGCTGCCTATCTTACCTATTTAATGACCTTTGAAATATTTCTTTTTCTCCAATTAAGTTCAAGTTGGTAGAACCAAAAAAGTACTGATTCTCCTCTCATTTATTCATATATGCTGCTGTAATAGTATCTGTTGTGCCATGGTGTTCCTCTTACAGAACACAGCCTTAAACACCTACAGTATCTAGCTTACTCATGTCACTTTGCAATTAGACATCATCCTTTCCCAAAATTCAGTGAAATTATTCTCGAATTTGTTTAACATATTTCAACTACAATTTGTCTCTCGATTTCCTGACCATAGATGAAAAATTACTTTTATTCAGGCATTTCAACACCGTCTCGTTGCTTTCAGTGTGAAGAACGAGATCTGACCAGAAGCCAGAAACAGTGGGAGAAACAACGACTGAAGGCTGAATTAAAGCACAAACTACAATCTGAGTCAGAAAAATTGCGAAAAGAAATGCTCTCTTGTCTCAAAGAACGGGAACAGAAACTGAAGGTTAGTAATGAGATTTATAAACTGTTGCAAGGTAATTATGAAGTATCTTATCTCTTTATGTAGGGATGCACCAGAACCATAATATCAAGTTCTGGCTGGAGCCGAAACTTGACGGAATTTAAAAATGTTCCAACCGGAACCATTCCAGTCATAGTTTATTGTAGAAAATACGTATACAGTACTGTATATCAAATGATCATGTTTAGTGTTTTCTGTCCTTTTTCATGGAGGACACCAGAGATTTATCATCATTTATATAATTTTGCATTCGTACAGTACAGTGACCCCTCGTTTAACGAACGCCTCGGTTTACGAAATTTCGGTTAACGAACTGCCTTCCATAAGGATCTTCAATTCGGTTAACGAACAAAAATTCGGTTAATGAATTTCTTACGAACCG